CAAAGCAAAAGTGGAAAGTGACTACCAGATATACGAAAGAATTAATAACACTACTAGAAATGAATATGTTTTATCTCTTATGTTAAATATAAATATGAAAAAAAAAACATCCATTAAGTACAAAACTAAAAAAAAAAACACCACGTCAAGTGAAATTGGAACAGAGTTATATTTGAATTAGTCCTCAAACCAACCAGGTCACACCTGTATTTTGGGCGCTAGGAGCGTGTTTAATGTTTATTAAACATTCAAAGTGTACTAACAAAAACAAAATTTATTGCGTGTTTACAATGTTCAAAGTATAAACATAAGAATAAATATTATTTTTTATTAATTCTTATGGTGTAAACATGGAATTTCACACGAATCTATTACTTTGTAATATTATTCTAGTAATGTTATAAATATTGAATGTTTGTTATTCACTTACCCTTTAATGACTGTAAGGATTTGAATGAACTTATGTGTTATTTTTAGATATATCATATTCTAGATTAAGGTATAGGGTACATCTATTAATAATTCACGCGAGTAAAGACGCGAAGTATTTCTGGTATTATAAATTGATAATTGATCGATAAACGTAGTTGCCACGCTTGGTAGGCAGGCTAGCAACTGCAGTTAGGCTGTGATCTTTTAAGAAGGATGCTGCTGCTGTACATCTCTCGACTATTGTTCTCTTAGTCGCCTGTTACGACATCCACGGGAATAAGGGGTAGCCTATTCTATATATATAGTTATATATTGACCAAGCATTAAATCGAACTGAGTATCTCATTTATGGAAAACAACGTACTTACCAGAGTGCTATAAAGGTCGCTGATTTTATTTTATAAATTATTTAATTTAATTTTAATTGACCTTGACCTAGAAATATGGGACGTTATCAAATACTCTTTTTATATAAACTTAGATGATTCGTTTATTCTTTTTAGTTAAGTGTTACCCATTGCTAAATATCCTTCTTATAAAAACTAGTTTCAACTTTGAACTTATAACAGGTTTAGATTATAGATAGGTACATATATAACGTTACTTAATTTTCGTCGGAGAGTCCCACACCTTAGAAAAGTGCGAACAAGTTATAATATTTAACATACCAATTTAAAAACAGCATCTGTAGTCCGTCTGTATTACTTCAACAACCTCAAGAACTGAAAAAGAAAGTAAAAAAAATCAGTATTATAAGTATGTACAGTTTTTATTTTTTATACAACTACGGCGGCAACCAAGCATACGGCCTGGCTGATGATGAACGGTAACCTCTTTACCTGTAGTCTATGGACGCCTATTATACCAGAAATGTCACGCGCGCGTTACCGACCCTTAATTTGGGGGGAAAGGGATTGTTAGTAATAAGATTTAACAGCCCCATTGCTAGCAATACACCCTATCAGATCGACCTCCACGCGGTTCTCCCTGGAAACCATAATGGTTAATTCTTGTTCAATTGGTCACTATGGGCCAACTGACCTGCCTTTATCTTCACCTGTCACACTTCACTGGTACTCCGCCAACGTACACTGATTTACCATTCCATTTTCACTCATTAAAAAAAAGACCCTTAATTTGTATTATTATTTGAAATATTAACCTAACCAGTAGAAAGAAGCGGTGAGTTGCAGTTGCATAAATGTAAGAAATTGATATTTTATAATTATTTTGTCAGAGGGCTAGAGAATTTATTTCATCTTTACTAATATTGTAAATATGAAAGTGAGTTATTTGTTTATTTGCTATCTATTAATGTTTTAACGGCTTAAAACTCGTAGATCGCTATGAAATTTGATCTACACTTACTTTAAAGGACAGAGAAAGACAGGCTACTTTTGATTAATCAGTAGACTTAGGATGGTTACGTGCACATATGATAGCGGCTAAAAGTTAGTTTTGTTATAATTATTTAATAAATATTTCATACACAATAAGTAGATAACAAAGTCTGTTTATCTGCTTACTTCTTCTAAATCATGCAAGCATTTTAACACGGTATTCATGTTTCTGTAAATATGGCGCTCTCGTGCACCCCTGCGAAGAAATACACCAGATTTTAAGGTAGACCTTCAGGAATACCATTGTGGAAACCAAAGCCAATTTGGTGCAGTAGTTTTTACATGATGCCGGAACAAACATGAAGACAGACAAAAATGTTATTTATTTTTGTTTTGACTTCTTTTGCCTTTCTTATTATATATAAACCTAATATTGTTTTTTTTTTAATATTTTCCATGCACAGACATCGTCTAGTTACAATTTTATTATATTGGTAATATTATATCTATTGTTGTAACTACTGTGAATCTAAAATGGCGATTGTAACAAAATCCTAAGGGGTATCCAAAAATAGACGTACGAGATACCGCGTTGCGGCTGAATTGTGAGTCAGCGCGCCTTGTGCTTGATCTTGTCAGTATACGTTTTTACAAATATAGGAGGTTTTCAATTCGACTGCATTTATTTTATGTTTGTTATCGCAAAACACCGTCACTGATAAACCGACACGATTTTTTTTATTTGGATTTTCAGATTGGTTCCATTTTTTTTTCATGCAATTGAAATTTCATGAAAATCATTTGAGTAGTTTTTGAATACAAAATAACTGCTCAGTTTTGCTACTATTAAAATTTGTATATTTTTTTGGAGAACAATTTCCGTAACATTTATTTATTTATATTCTCATTTAAAGAATAGAAATTCCTAATTTAATAGTATATTTTTTCTGTGATGATACGATATTTTAGACAATTGAGAACTAATTTTCATTATTTAATTATCCGTTATTAGAATTTAATTCTGCGTTGGAGTTATACAAATTTTATTATGTTATTTAATAATAGTACAGTGAATTAGTTTTTAAAGAGATATTTAATATAGATCTATCTACATCATATTTAGGAATTAGAACAAAGAATAAAAAAAAAATGTAAATATATTTTATGTTCTATCTGTAGTTTTTTCATTATCTGTTATAACGGAACGCAGATTTAGACACGTCTATATCTATCTATCCATATTAAAACATTAGCGGCCCGTCCCAGCGTCGCACGGGTGGACATTATTACATTTAAAATATGGCCATTTAAGGCTGCACACGCGACGGAAGCTAAAAATGGAGTAACTTCTTCCGTTTTCCTAACATTTCCCTTCACTACCTTGCTCCTATTAATCGTAGCGTCACGAAAAGTATACTATAACCTGCCCAGGAGTATGAAGAATAATTGTACCAAGTTTCGTTAAAATCCGTCGTGTAGGTTTTGTTTCTATAACGAACATACAGACAGACAGACATACAGACAAAAATTTTACTGATTGCAGTTTTGGCATCAGTATCGATCACTAATCACCCCCTGATGGTTATTTTGAAAATATATTTCATGTACAGAATTGACCTCTCTACAGATTTATTATAGGTATAGAAAGAAGATGACAAAAAAATTATCATTGTTTATATCTTTTTAACGTCGTCATCGTCATATCAGCTGTTAACTGTCAGTGCTGAATATAGGCCTCTCGTTATTGGGGGTTTTGACAGAAGGTAGTTGTTACGCTTGGCAGGCGGATTGACAACCGCAGTTAGGCTTTAGTTATATCTAAAGAGAGAGTTCTGCTACTACTTCCCATTTCTCGACTTTGAAATTCCCTTAGTCGCTTAAGATACCCACAGGAAAGAAAGATATGCCGGGAGCATACGGCGCATATCACAATTTGTTTTTATACATATAATGAAACTGTAACGTTAACGTCCTTATTCATGCATCGCGCATAAATTACTGGACTAATTTGGACAAATTTTGGCGTAGCGATAATGTTATTATGCGGTGTAATGTAAGGCAATATTGTCTCGCGATCTTCGCGTACACTGCCGTACACGGAAAGGACAATAACGCAAAGGCCACGGGCGAGTGCGTATGTGTCTTGATTTATACGCGTACATTAGTAGGTCAATGAGGGAAGGTAAATAAACAGACAAATCACCCGACCCAACATAATAAAGGATACCTTTTACTATAGCAAAATATCTCATTCCCAAGAGCAAACAATTTGTTGTGAGAAACACATATATAGCACGTTTACTTTATTATTAATTAATGTTGCAAGCATGTATAGCTATAAGTTATTTATTAAGCAAACATCTCCCCACTTGTTTAAATTATAAACAATGACATTCAAAGTGAAATTAAATGCAGATTTTACAGCTATTACTATAGCCAGTCTTGATGTAAAATTAAGTCGATATATTTTAATAAGCCAAGTGTTCCCCCTTGTGCATAGAGTGGGCCACCCCCTCCTTCGTATCGCAAGAGGCGACTAAGGAAATCTAATTCTTGAGGTATGGGCAGCGGCAACCCTCTTAAAGCATCACCAAAGTCTAACTGCGGTTGCCAACCTGCGTACTGCTATTACTGGCAAAACTGCCAAGGAGAATGTCTATGTTCAGCAGTGGACAGTTAATGGCTAATATGATGATTACTTTAATATGTTATTCACATACACTGATAGCCTTCGTTCAGTAGTGGCAAATAACAAAACAGCTATAAATTGTTATTAATATATAATTAGTGAATTGACATATTAAACGCAGTAAGTGAATAAACTTTATTATCAATAAATAAATTAAGAAGCCAAATGAGCCTGAACTGAACTTCTGACCTGGTTGATTTTGAATGTATTACCCATAATATTACTTTAATAGTAACATGTTGTTATAAAATTTTACATCCGCTCTTAAAACGTTTATTTGTCTAACAAACATTACACATATTCACAAATATTCATATTGTATATATGATGATCATGTACAAAGAGGTGCATTTATAAGAATAAATAATCTGGGTATTTTATTGAATTGTCGGGAGTGAACTTTGTTGATTTTCTCAGAGGAATACTTTACTCATACTATTTTGATAATAACATATTGTTATTAAATTTTATATCCGATCTTAAAACAGTAATTTTTTATGAAATGAATTATTATTTATGAAGATTTTTCTTTGTTGCAGTGGAGAGCACTGGCGATCGCTTGCCCATCACCGTAGGCAGACCCGGTGATCCTTCACCGCCAATATTCGAACAAATCTTCAAAAATGCAAGATTTGCACAGGGCGGAAATGCAAAATTCGAGGGAAAACTGAGAGGTAACCCAACACCTGTAGTGTCGTGGACTAGAAAGAAAGCACCACTAGTAGAATGTAATAAGTACAGTATGAGCTACAATGAACAAACCGGTGACGTGTCGTTGCTAATTAAACAAATCGGGCCAGGTGATGAGGGCGAGTACACATGCACGGCTCGCAATCAGTACGGCGAAGCGATTTGTTCAGTGTACATACAGCCTGAGGGAGTCCCTGTACCTGCTCAACAGTCTTCTCAACAACAGAGCTACCGGCATGTCAGCGAAAGTGTCGAACACAAATCGTATGGCACTCAAGGATACTCTACGGAACAGTCCCGGCAAATGCAAAAAATTGCCTACACCAATGGTTCCGATTACTCTTCTACCGAGGATTTCAAAGTCGATACATTTGAGTATAGACTTTTGAGAGAAGTATCCTTCAGAGAAACTATCACCAAGAGATATATCGGAGAATCTGACATTCATATTAGCACAGAAATTGATAAGTCCTTGGGTCCTGTAGCCCCGCCTAAAATATCACAGAAACCCAGAAATTCTAAACTTCAAGAGGGAGCTGACGCGCAATTCCAGGTACAATTGTCTGGTAATCCCAGACCACGGGTAACATGGTTCAAGAACGGGCAGAGGATAGTCAATTCGAATAAACACGAAATAGTAACGACACATAATCAAACGACACTTAGGGTAAGAAATACACAAAAGTCTGATATTGGCCACTATACTTTATTAGCTGAAAACCCCAACGGGTGTATTGTAACGTCGGCGTATCTTGCCGTCGAATCTCCTCAAGAAACATATTTCCAAGATCAGAAGTCACAATATATTATAGACTCACAACAAACAGGGTATGAAGAAAGAGTAGAAGTAACTGAAAAAGCTCTCGCTCCGCAATTTGTAAGAGTCTGCCAAGACCGCGATGTAACGGAGGGCAAAATGACGCGATTCGATTGCCGCGTCACTGGCAGACCTTACCCAGAAGTCACGTGGTTCATTAACGATAGACAAATTCGAGACGATTATAATCATAAGATATTAGTAAACGAATCTGGTAATCATGCACTTATGATTACAAACGTCGAACTCCGTGATAGCGGTGTGGTAACGTGTGTTGCGCGCAATAAGAGTGGAGAAGTATCTTTTCAATGTAGACTGAATGTAATTGAAAAGGAACAAGTAGTCGCTCCTAAGTTTGTTGAGCGTTTCAGTACCTTGAGTGTTCGCGAAGGCGAACCTGTAGTATTAAATGCACGAGCAGTCGGCACACCCACACCACGAATCACATGGCAGAAGGACGGCGTACAAATTATACCCAATCCAGAGTTACGAATTAATACCGATGGTGGGGCCTCGACGCTGGACATTCCGCGAGCCAAGGCGTCGGATGCGGCATGGTACCAATGCACCGCCCAGAACGTCGCAGGTTCCACCGCTACTCGGGCAAGGCTCTATGTCGAAGTACCAAAAGAGCCTCCGCCTGAGCAAAAGCGTCTGCACTTACCCCGGCCTACAAAGATCATTGAACCAGAGTAAGTAGTATTGTGTTATAAAAAAAAAAGCATATATAAAATTATCTTACTGAACATAAAGCCGTACCTATGTGAAGTAGGTAGAGAATACTCGGGAACTTTTACCCTGACATAACTCTAATTTTATTAGCTTTCATAACTCAATAAATACATACATGCTAATAATATATATATCTATTTATTATTACGACAGGTCTTTTGCTGAGTACATAGTGAGAATCGAGTACCAATGATGTTAAAGGTTAAATAAGATATAATCACTTTTATTTTAGAAAATAAGTTTAAAACACTAATGAATTTAGATTTCATAAATACATAAGTAAATTATGTTGTTAGTTATAGATTATAATAAAAGAGGTGTATTTTTATTTTAGACCTGCTCCTGGACCAGAAATCATATATTTGAGGCACGTGGAAAGAGCAAGACCTTATATTCCTCCAGGAGAGGAAGACCGAGTATATCCTCCACCACAGTTTATCGTGCCACTCAAAAGTGTTACGCAGATGGAAGGTGGCAAAATTCACTTTGAAACGAGGATAGAACCGGTAGGCGATCCAACGATGAAGATAGAATGGTTGAAGAATGGACAAAGTATTGAAGCTAGTAAGTATCATATTTAATTTTTATATAATTATAATAATAAATAAATAATTTAGTTCATTTACATTTTCATAATACCTTAATATTTTCTTGTTCCAGGTTCTAGGTTTACATCAATATTCCGATTTGGTTATATTTCTCTAGACATGCTCAGTCTTAATATTCAAGATAGTGGAGAATATACTTGCCGCGCGACTAGCGCTACAGGAGTTGCTGAAACGAAAGCTATATTACAGGTAACACCGAGAGCTACTATTGAAAGAACAAGTCAACATCCGCAAAGTCTACAATATATTCAGCAATTAGAAGATTACTCAAAGTACCAGCACCAAGAATCGATCGAAGAACAATCGTTACAAAGGCCACAATTTATAAGGCCACTACAAGACCTCGGTGAACTTCAAGAAGGAAGAAATGCTCACTTTGAAGCGCAACTAACTCCAGTTAGTGATCCTACGATGAGAGTAGAGTGGTATAAAGATGGAAGACCCATTACAGCCAGCTCGCGAATCACGTCAATCTTCAACTTCGGTTACGTCTCCCTTAACATCATGCACCTACGGGCTGAAGATGCAGGTTCGTACACAGTGAGGGCTGTTAATAAATTGGGTGAGGCCATTAGTACCGCTAGTATCAGAGTAGCAGCTAGGAGTACAGTAACTGCAGACCTCGGTATACCAGAACAGCGCCGATACATCGAGAAGACTGAGCAATTAGAAGCTTATCAACAACAACAACACCAAAAATATTATCAGGAAGTCCCTGAGAGTACTCAGAGACCAGAATTTAAGACTCCTATTAGGGATCAAGTAAATATTAAGGAAGGTGGTTTCGCTCACTTCGAGGCTCGACTAGAACCTGTGGGAGATTCCACTTTAAGAGTAGAATGGTTAAAAGATGGACGTCCTGTCGAAGCAAGTTCAAGAATAACTACATTCTTTAATTTTGGTTATGTAGCACTAACTATAAAATCAGTGACCGTACACGATGCCGGCCATTATACTTGCAGAGCCTATAATGCACTAGGCCAAGCAACAACTAATGCGAATCTATCAATAGTAACAAAGAAAGATATTATTGCGGAGTCACAACATCCAGGCGGTTTAGAAAAAATACAACATCTTGAAGACTCGAGCAAATATATGAGAAGAACAGAAGAAGAAACAAGAGTAACACAAAAACCTCGATTTTTGGGACCATTGAAAGGTACTAACAAAATTGTTGAAGGACAGAGTGCACATTTTGAAGCAAGGGTTGAGCCACAAAGTGACTTGACCATGAATGTGGAGTGGTACTTTAATGGAAAACAAATTAAGACTGCAAATCGTATTCAGACATACTATGACTTTGGGTACGTCGCGTTGGATATTAGTAGCGTGCGTGCTGAAGATTCCGGCGTGTATACTGTTGTTGCTCGTAATGCAGCAGGAGAGGCGCAACTTAGCGCATCTATGACAGTTGAAAGTAAGTAAAAATATTTTTTTTTTATTATATTTAGAATGGCAAATAAGCTGATAGAAAATGATAACTGTCGTCTATAATCATGAACAATACCATGGATATCATAGCATACACTTTGATGTCGATGGTACCCTGCATACATTGTTAATTCTGAGGACTATGCCTTCGTATTCTGTTATTTTACTACTATATCTCAGACTTTAAACTGAAGTCATGCAAATACAACTGCTTCACGGTAGAAACACGAATGTGGTATAAATACCCATAAAGACGATTTTTGTTACATATCTCCCTTTTAGTTATTTAATATTAATAATATAATATGATAACTACTTTTCAGCGCGATCGAGTATTGATACGTCAAGTATTCATCGTGGTTTATATGAAAAAACCAGACAAATAGAAGAATCTAAATTTGTGGAACCCATGTACCAAATTGAAGAAATCTCAAAATCTAAACCGGTTTTTGTACAACCTCTCTCAGATCCAGCACCGATTTCTGAGGGAAAGAATATTCATCTTGAATGTAGACTAGAACCAATGGGTGACCCTACAATGAGAGTAGAATGGTTCCACAATGGCAGAGCCATAACAGTAGGTTCTCGATTTAGGACTTACTATGATTTTGGATTCGTAGCATTAGATATAATTCATGCTACATCGGCTGATACAGGAGAGTACACTGTTCGAGCTGTAAATCATTTAGGATCCGCTCACACGTCTGCAATGGTACGTGTTATTGAGAGGTCAGATATTTTGACAGAAACACAAAACGAACAAGCTATTGAACAAATACAAATGCTGGAAGATGCTGCTAGAAGAAGCAGACAAGTACAGGAAGATATTACCGTAATGCAGGCACCTCAGTTCTCAAGGGCATTGCATAATATTGAAACTATTGAAGGCACCAATGTACATTTGGAATGCAGATTACAACCTGTTGGCGACCCTACAATGAGAGTAGAATGGTTCTGTAATGGCAGACCAATCAAGACAGGGCATAGGTTTAGACCTGCTTATGAATTCGATTATGTGGCTCTTGACTTATTAAGTGTTTATCCAGAAGATTCTGGAGTTTACACTTGCCAAGCTACAAATCAGCTAGGTGAAGCAGTAACTTCATGTGCGTTGCGTGTAATTGCTAAAAAGGACTTAATATTTGAATCACAACATCCATCGGGACTAGAGAAAATTCAGTATTTGGAAGACGCCTCAAGATATAAGAAATCTGAAGTTATAGATGAATCTATAAATATCAAACCTCATTTTGTAACCAAACCTAAATCTATAGAAAATGTGATCGAAGGAAACCATGTTCACTTTGAATGCAAATTGGAACCAGTTACTGATTCCAATCTTAAAGTAGAGTGGTTTAAGAATGGACAACCTGTTACTATTGGTCACAGATTCAGACCTATTCATGATTTTGGATACGTAGCACTGGATATAATTGATTTAATTGCTGAAGACTCAGGTATATATACTTGCAGAGCTGTAAACCTTGTGGGTACAGACGAAGTAAGTTGTAGATTAACTTGTCGAGGAACAGCTGATATTGTTAGAGGTACACAAAATGAGGCTGGATTGGAGCAAATTCATGTATTGGAAGACAGATCTAGATATCAGAGAAGTGATTTTGTTGACGAAGTCACTACACAAGCTCCTATTTTCACGACATCTTTGAAAAACATTGAAATAAAAGAAGGCCAACGTGCACATTTTGAATGCAGACTCATTCCAGTCTCAGATGCAACGATGAAGGTAGAATGGTATCATAACAATAAACCTCTCAAAAGCGGTTCAAGGTTTACAGAAACAAATAATTTCGGTTTCGTAGCTCTTGATATAATGTCTTGCTTACCTGAAGATTCTGGAACTTATACTTGTAGAGCCATAAATGCTCTCGGAGAAGCAGTTACATCAGGAATTGCAATTGTACATTCCAAAAAATCTATATATTTGGAGTCTCAACATGAAGGAGCCTTGACAAGGTTAACTCAACTTGAAGATACATCAAGGTATCAAAGGCATAGCGCACAAGATGAAATTATTACTCAAGCACCAGTATTCACGATGCCTATGAAAGATATAAGAGTAGCCGAAAATCAAGCCGCACACTTTGAAGCGCGACTTATTCCTGTGGGTGACCCAAAACTACGGGTAGAATGGCTGCGTAATGGTGTACCAATTGAAGCATGTAAGTATTACAGACTTATTGTTATCACATTTCAGGTTAAATTTGTTAGATTTTAATAGACTAATGAATTATTATTTTTAGCCAATCGATTGACAACGATGCATGACTTTGGATATGTTGCTCTTAATATGAAGTATGTAAATCCTGAGGACTCTGGAACGTACACATGCCGAGCAATAAATGAACTAGGAGAAGCTGTAACTTCATCTACACTAATTGTACAATGTAAGTATTTTAGTAATATTAGATTCAATATTATTGCATTTTATTTGAATAGTACGTAACACAGTACTTTTTTACATAGCCAAGGCATCGTTGCAACTTGAATCACAACATGAAAGTGCTTTAGAGAAAATACAGCAGTTGGAAGATACCTCGCGTTATCAACGCAGAGAAGATGTAGAGGTTCAAGTTAATCAAGCACCTAGATTTATCACTCAATTAAATGGACCATCAAGACTTGTAGAAGGTCAGAGCGCTCACTATGAATGTCGCATCGAACCATATCCAGACCCCAATATGCGGGTTGAATGGTACTTCAATGGAAAGGTTCTACAGAGCGGTCATCGCTACCGTACTGCTTTTGACTTTGGGTTTGCAGCACTTGACGTTCTCACTGTTTATGGAGAAGATTCTGGAGAATATACATGCAAGGTCATAAATAACTTAGGGCAAGCAACATCATCTATCAAGTTGAATGTACAATGTAAGTAAAAATTAGTTTAAAAAACATTCAATACAATGAAAAATTAAAGAGAATACTTTAAAATATCTTTTAATGTATATACATGTAATATTTGGATTACTCAGTACTATATATTTTTTTTATATACAATTTAGAATGGCAAACAAGCTGACGGCCCACCTGATGGAAAGTGGTAACCGTCGCCTATAGACATGAGCAGTACCATGGACATAACAGAGTATACTGTTTCGCCCATGATACCCCCCATGCGTTGCCATTCCTAAGGACTCAGATGTTATTCCTCTGTACCCAGTAAATTCACGCCATATCCCACCCTTCAAACCGAAACACAGCCATGCAAACACAACTGCTTCACGGTTGAAACACGAATGGGACAGAGGTACCCAAGTAATCGACTTTTGTACAAAGTCTCCCTCTGGTAGATTATTATATTATATTATTTATAGGTATTGAAATTCTTTAAAAATGCTATCATTATTACAGCCAAGGAATCTATAATAAGGGACACGCAACATGAAAGTGCATTGGAAAAGATTCAGTATTTAGAAGATGACAGCAGATACAAGAAGGTGGTTCGTGATGAGAGCTTTGTTGCTGAAAAGCCACAGTTTGGAAGGCCACTTAAAAATGTTCAAGTAGCTGAAGGCAAACCGGTTCATCTTGAAGCAACATTAACTCCCGTGAACGATCCTACTATGCGTGTCGAATGGTACTGCAATGGAAGACCGATCCAGCAAGGTCACCGCTTCAAAACTACTTACGATTTCGGATATGTAGCACTAGACATTTTGTATGCCTATGCTGAAGATACAGGTACCTACATGTGTAAAGCAACAAACGCTGTAGGGGAAGCTGTAACTACTAGCTCTGTCAAAGTAGATGGTGAGTGTGAAGAAATTTAAATGTATTACAATTTATATAAGGAAATAGTTATATATAAATTTAATGGTATTTAATGGTATTAATTGTATTATTTTTCAGCTAAATCTGGACTTTATCTTGATACACTTGATGAACAAAGATTGAGGAAGATCCAAGAACTGGAAAGATATGAGAGACCTAAAGCTGTTGAAGAAGAACAGCCTGGACAAAGGCCTGTATTCTTAACTGCTTTAACAAGTCTTGAGAATTTGAAAGAAGGTGACCGTGCCCACTTCGAATGTAGAGTTGAGCCAATCAATGACCCAGACTTAAAGATTGAATGGTTCCTCAATGGACAAAAGATCAAAACAGGCCATAGGTACAGAACAACACATGACTTCGGCTATGTTGCCCTAGATATTCTATACTCTTATGCGGAAGACTCCGGCACGTACATGTGTAAAGCTACCAATAAACTTGGTGAAGCTGTTAATACATGCACGTTGAAGGTTGCAGGTAAATAAATTTATGTTTAATATTTTATAATGTAACGGACTATATAAGCTCCTAAAAATCATAAGCAAAAGCATATCGTAGATATTATATTACTGGATTTAATTCTAAATTGTCCCCTTAGTTGATATTAGTAAACATATTCTTATTTTTACTAATAACAACTTTACGTAAAATATTTGAAGAGTATTATGAAAGATAATATCATGATTAAAGTGTTGATTATTATTATTACATATAAATCTATCACGCCTGTCTCCCATCTCGCTGAATATAATGTTATAAAAATAAAAAATAAAATGAATATGGAAGAAGTTGAAAGTTAACCTTTCTTTTTATTAATTTTGTTGATTCACCTTATTTGCAAACAAGCAATACATCTAATTAAATTATTGAAATTAATTTTCATTCCAGAGTTTAGAGTGGCTTTAGCATGTTTAGTAATTTATATGCATATTTTTAGGGCACAGGAGTATTATTCTGGATACTCAACATCCGAATGGATTGGAAAAGATTAGGCAACTAGAAGCACAAGGTCATCATACGAGATTAGAAGTTGAAGAACCTAAGATTAGTCCGCCAAGGTTCGTTACTGAGCTGAGGGGAACAACACATGTATTTGAAGGCAAAACAGCTCACTTTGAATGTCAAGTCGAACCTGTACACGATCCTAATTTACGTATTGAATTTTATCATAATGGAAAAGCCCTGCAATCTGCTTCAAGGTTCCATATCACTTTTGATTTTGGTTATGTGTCATTAGATATTCAGCACTGTGTTCCTGAAGACGCTGGTGAATATTCGGTTAAAGCAATCAATGCTCTTGGACAGTGCACATCATCAATATCTATGACAGTAACCGCAAAAGGTAGTATCATATCGGAATCTCAACGTCCGGAAGGTCTAGAGAAGATCCGAGAGTTAGAATCAGTGGAACCATTCAAACGTCCCGAGATACCAGAACCAGTTACTAGACAGAGACCAGTATTTACGCAACCTCTACAAAATATAGACAACATACAAGAAGGACAAACTGCGCACTTTGATTGTCGACTTATTCCAGTTGGGGATCCTACTCTTAAAGTGGAATGGTTTAGAAATGAAAAACTAATCGAAGACAGTTCTCGAATAACTAAGACTCATGACTTCGGTTATGTATCCATGACTATTACCCATGTGCGCGATGAAGATGAAGGCGTATATATGTGTAGAGCATCGAATCTTCTCGGAGAGGCAGTTACAACTGCTGCTATGAGAATAAAAAGTAAGTTACTATATCAGAATTATAAATTAATATTTATTAATTACAAAAAACATATATTTATATTAAATTTATACCAACAGCAAAAGCAGCTATCCAGATGGACACACAACATCCTGAAGGAATGAAAAAGATACAACGGTTGGAGGAACCACAGCCTAAAAGAAGTGAAGAACCTGAACGTGAATTTGAAAAACCAATTTTCACACAAGTTCTTACCGGTCCTTCGGAACTATGGGAAGGACAACATGCACATTATGAAGCTCGTGTTGTGCCTGTTGGTGATCCAAGCTTACGTTTTGAGTGGTATATCAATGGCGTAGAACTTAAAATGGGTAAACGCATTTAAAATAATACCTAATACAGTTTCATATTTTTTATTCAAAATAATTATTCTTCTATACTAATATTAAAATGTTATATAACTTTCAGGCTCCAGATTCCGCACGACGCATGACTTTGGATTTGTCACATTAGATATAAACTCAGTAGTAGCACAAGATGCTGGACTATATATGTGCAAAGCTATTAACAGAGCTGGTAGCACAGTATCTTCGACATCACTGAAGGTCAAGACAAAATCCACTATTGTTGACCAGGCGATGAGACCTGAATCATGGGAACAAATTCAGCTAAAAGAAGCAGCAATGAATAAAGTTCCAGAGATGTTTGTTGATACTGGAGTTCAGCAAGCACCAATCTTTACTACTCATTTGAAGAGTTACGACAAACTTGTAGAAGGACAACATGTATACCTTGAAGCACAGGTAGAACCACGTACAGATCCTAATCTAAGAATCGAGTGGTTTAAAAATGGTATCTCTCTAACGACTGGTGCGAGACTGAAGAGTACCTTCGATTTCGGACTCGTCACGTTATCTATCAATGGTTTAAGAATTGATGACTCTGGTATTTATACTTGTAAAGCTACCAACCTTATGGGAGAAGCTGTATCTACTGCTTCCATTAAGATTGAAGATCGTCATTGGCTACTTGGTGAAACACTTCACCCTGAATCTCTTGATAGAATTGGGGCTTTAGAACAACCTAAGCCATCAAAACCAGAGGCTCCAGAACCAGTTTATGAAACACCTGTATTTATTTCTCATTTGAATAACATATTATGCAAAGAAGGGGATAATATTCATTTTGAATGTAATGTAGAGCCTTCTAGAGATCCAACACTTAAGATTGAATGGTTCTTTAACAATAAACCTTTACCATCGGGTACAAGATATAAGAGTACTCATGACTTTAGTTATGTATCTTTAGACATTACTCACACATATGAAGAGGATTCTGGTATTTACACATGTAAGGCAACTAACAGCAAGGGATCAGCAACAACATCCGGTTCGCTGAGATGTACAGGAGATAAGAACATTTATTTCGATACTCAACACCCACAAGGAAAAGCTGGTCTTGAAGCTGTTGAGCAAGCTGAAGAAGCTAGACTTGCAAAAGGCAGAAGACCTTCAGTACCTGATGCTGAATACGCTAAGCCAGAATGGGTTGTCCCAATAGCAGCTGAGCATCAACTAATAGAAGGACAAGCACTTCATTTAGAAGGTCAAGTTGAACCGAAAAATGATCCTAATCTGAAAATTGAATGGTACTTTAATGGCAAAGTACTGGAACAAGGATCAAGGTTTAAACTTACTAGTGATTTCGGTTTTGTGACTTTAGATTTAATTGATGTTTATGAAAGAGATAGTGGAATATATACATGCAAGGCTTATAACAAGAGGGGTGAAGCCTTCACGTCTTCAACTATTTATTGCACAAGTAAAGAGAATCTTATCGAACGTACTCAACATCCTAAAGGTACAGAAGGCTTGGAAAAGATACAAAATCTTGAGGATTCACTTCGTAGGGAACCTGGTCAAAAGCCTGATGATGATACTGGTAGGCCACCTGAATTTACTAGTGTATTCAAAGATATTGTTGATATAAGTGAAGGTCAAATAGCTCACTACGAAGCTTCATTAATACCCACGGGTGACCAGAGTATGGTAATTGAATGGTTCTTTAATGGAAAGACAATTGAGGCTAGTCATCGTATTCGTACCGTGTATGCATTCGGTATGGTTGTTCTTGAAATACTAGGAACTAAGACCACTGACTCAGGCGTATACTCTTGCCGAGCCACTAATAGATGGGGTCAAGCTGAAATAAGTGTCAAGTTAGAATGTGTAGATAAGAGTAAAGGACAAAAACCGAGGTTTACTACACATATTCAGAACATTGATGGACTTAAGGATGGCCAATCAGCGCATTTTGAATGCACTGTTGTACCCGTCGATGATCCTGATATGAAAATCGAGTGGTACCACAACGGTCAGCCGTTGCGGCATTCAACAAGGATAAAGACCGTGTCAGACTTCGGCTTTGTAGTTCTTGATATTGCGTACACTCAAAACCATGATTCTGGTGAATATGTATGTCGTGCATATAATAAATATGGAGAAGATTTTACTAAAGCTACTATTGGTTGCTATGGACGTGGAGGAGTTTACTTAGACAGCTTACAACCTGATTCATTGGCTAAGATTAGAGAGTTAGAAAGTCTGCAAGGGCAACAACAACAAGCTCCTGCAGCGGCTTCAGCAGAACCACCGAAATTCTTAACACAGATACAGGATGTTACAAAATTAGTAGAAGGACAAAGTGCTCACTTCGAGGCTCGTCTGGTGCCTGTAGATGACCCTGATCTTAAAGTAGAGTGGTTCTATAATGGTAAAAAATTGCCACATGGACACCGATATAGAACTTTCCACGACTTTGGTATCGTCATATTAGATATACTTTATTGTTACGAAGAGAATTCTGGCGTATATGAGTGCGTCGCAACTAACAAATTAGGCCGCGATTCTACAAAGGCTACTCTCAAGTGTACATCGAAAGAGAACTTAATCTTGGACTCGCAACTCCCGCGGGTAAGTTATTGATAAATTATAAAATTTATCTTTATTTAAACATATTTACGTAATTTAATTTTGTATAGTCTTTTTTATTTTTAGTTTAATCAATTTATTATATATATTGATTAAACTAAAAGATATCTTTTTATTATGAAAGAATCTGTAATATCAATCCTAACAATACTTAACACCATAGGTGACATTTTGCAAAAAATTTTGAAATGTTTTATACTTTATTAATATTAATAATGCTGAAAATCTTAATACAAAATATTTTAATTTTAAATAAATAAAAATATGAATGGATTATAAGAAATCACTTTATACTTAAAACTTAACAATTTGTTATATTACAAATTGTTAAGGTTTTCAAGGTCAATACTAACTTTTATTAATATAGCATAAACAAGTAATAGTACAACCCACGTCAAAACGTCGATAATATAAATCGGGTATGTAAGTAAGGATTATTTACCTGTAATCGCATCGCATTAAGTCCCGAGTATCATCTTATCAGATGTTATCTGACCACTGCTGAACATAGGCCTTCCCCATAGATTGCAGTCCAGAGCCATCTATTTCAACTTTTGAGGTATTTGAGATCGTCACTCTATGTAGTGGTGGGTCGTTTTACACTGCGTTTGTCTATATGGGGTCGTCACTCAAGAACCCCTTGTTTACCATTGGTTGTCAGTTCTTCGAACTATATGACCAGCCCATTGCCACTTCTGCTTGCTTATTCTTCGGGTTATGTCGGTCTCTTTAGTTTTCGGATTCTGTCACGCAAAGAAACTTCGACCTATCCAGGCCTAATATCCGACCGATATATCACTCGTCATACCTTACTGAATAACTTGAAGCAATTGCATAAGTCTCTATCGTGAATTTAAAATAAAAGTATAGTATGTATTAAGTAAGTCAAATTAAACAGTTAGGTTCTTTATTGTATTAGTATGAGTAACATACATCTTTATTATATTTTAGGGCATGGAAGGTGGATTGGAGAAATTACAAACCTTGGAAGACTCGATGATTCGTAGAAAGGATACAACAGTTGAAGAAGAAAGAGGCAGGGCTCCTGTTTTCACAGTTCCGTTATCTAATATTGAAAATCTTAGAGAAGGTGAAAATGCACACTTCGAAGCGCGACTAACTCCAACTGATGATCCCAACTTGAAAGTAAGTAATAAAAATGAAACATTTTTTAAGTTATAAAACTATTGAAATTATATTAATACGATTGTGAATAAGGTTAATAGTAATTTATTTATACAATATATATGAAAATTAAACTTATTCAGCGTTAAATTCATATTGTAATAAGTTTGTTAGTATATACAAAATATTATTATTTTTAGGTGGAATGGTATTGGAATGGAAAGTCTCTTAAAGCTGGCTCAAGATTTAGAACATTCTGTGACTTTGGATTTGTAATTCTTGAAATATCTCCTACGTATCCTGAAGATTCTGGAGAATACTTATGTAGAGCATATAACAATTATGGAGAAGCGGTAACTACAGCTACAATGAAAGTTCAAGGAAAGCGTAATATCATCTTGGAATCTCAATTGCCTAAGGGCATGGAGGGTACTATTGACAAAATCGCAGCTCTCGAAGGGTATACTGGTACTGTAGATTCATTAACACCAGAGGCGGAAACTGGAAATCCTCCAGAATTTATTACAACGCCGTCGGATCTTATCTTAACAGAAAACTCGTCGGCCCACTTTGAGTGTCGCTTAGTTCCTGTAAATGATTCAAGTATGAGAGTCGAATGGTATCATAATGGAAAACCACTGTTGACTGGATCTAGAGTTAAGACTATCAATGATTTCGGATTCGTTATATTAGAAATTGGAGGAGTTTATCAACGTGATGCTGGATTATATACTTGCAAGGCCACAAATCGTCACGGCGAAGCCACTGTTTCCTGCAAACTGCAAGTTAAGGGTAGACAAGGCATTATCTTAGAACCCCAATTGCCTTCTCACTTTAAATCAGGTACAGAAAGTATTCAAAAATTGGAAGAGACTTTACATAAAAGGGAAGAAATTGCAGTTGAAGATGAAAAGCCTAATCCACCGAGATTTACAGTTGAAATTAAGGACAATATTGATGTACCAGAAGGCGGACCGATTCATTTCGACTGCCGTGTAGAACCAATAGGAGATCCTACAATGAGAATAGATTGGTTCTTCAATGGAAGACCTTTCGCTACTGGATCTCGCGTACACATGCTTAATGATTTTGGCTTTATAGCATTGGATATTGATTATATATATGCTCGTGATGCAGGAGAGTATACTTGCAGGGCCACCAACAAATGGGGTTCAGCAACAACTACTGCTAAGATCACTTGCAGTTCAAAACGTGATATCGTTTTAGAATCACAACTGCCGCAGGGCATGAGTGGTGAGAAAATAAAAGAACTCGAAAAAGGACGAATCAGTTCTGTTCCAAAAGACGAGCCAGTGGTCAGTACTCCTCCTAAATTTATTACCCAGATTCAGTCACATACCGTTGAAGAATCAGAAGGTGTACGTTTTGAATGCCGCGTAGAACCCAAAGAAGATCCGAAACTGCGAATTGAGTGGTACCGTAATGGCAAACTTTTGCCATCTGGTCATAGGTACCGGACAGTTTACGATATGGGTTTTGTTTCCCTTGATATTTTATATGTATATGCAGAAGACTCTGGCGAATACGTTTGTCGGGCTGTTAATGATTTTGGTGAAGATTTTACTAAAGGAACAGTGTCATGCAAACGTGAGTATTTAGTTAAAAATATTATATTTTTAATAAATTTTATTATTTTATACTATTATTTTTTTAAATTTAATCAATTGTTATGCTTAAAGGAAGCATAAAATAATATTGTTTTTATTATTACAGAATTGCCAGACATTATTTTGCAAAATCAAGTACCTAGAGGCATGAAGAGATCCGAAGCACTGACACAAATGGAGGCCACTATAAAGAAATACACTTCAGAAATATACTTGACTGAAGACGATCTTTATGATGCTGATAAGAAACAACCACCGCGTTTCGTAACACAAATTCAGAGTCAGACTACTTTGGTGGAAATGGAATCTACCAAGTTCGAATGTCAATTAGCTCCAGTTGGAGATCCTAATATGAAAGTAGAGTGGTTCTTCAATGGCAAACCATTATTACATAGTACGTATAATTATGCAAATATACAGTATTTTAAAGAAATATGTCTTGATAAAACTTTTAGACCATTTTCTACCGAATATACCAACAAACAAATAAACATAATGTATTTTTAGAATATGTGTACTCCGCGATAATTAAAATTGTTTTAATTTTTCAGAGAATCGTTTCACACCTATTTACGACTTCGGATATGTGGCAATGAACTTCGGCTGGGTGTACCCAGAGGATAGCGGAGAATATGTCTGTCGTGCAACCAACCTTTATGGCATGGATGAAACCAGAGCTATCATAAAAACTGCCGGCAAGCCAGGAATTGTTTACGATTCGCAACTACCTAAACACATGAAGAGTATTGAGAAGATTAGGGAGATGGAGGCATCTTGGCAAGTGTAAGTACCAGTAAAATTAATTAAAGCCGATATATTCCTAAATCTATTTCTAAGCTCATTTCAGTTCATACTAGTACATGAACTTCGTACTTAACATAGTACTATAAAACATTTATGCACCCCTTATATTCTATTTCCTAATATTCTAATAGGCTACAATGACCGTTTATCATTAGACGGGATATGTGCTTGTTTGTTAGCTTCGTGAAATAAAAAAAAAAACTTAATATTCTACATACGGTTAAATTACTAGGTACTTTAGATAATAATATATGTATATCATATATTAATGCTGTCATTACAAAAGTAGTGTCATAGTACTTACTTAGGTACTTTCTTATAATTAAACTGTAAATTGTTCCATAATATAAAAATAACGTTTGTGAAATAATAGAGCGATCAAACGTAAAAAAATCTTATTTCACAAACTAGCCGAGAGCTCGATTCAAAACAGTTCAAGCAGAAATATTATTTGTAACATTGAAAGACTAAACAGGCTCAATGTATTCATAATAAAGCACTGTTAAATACAAAATTTATTACAAAACAGAGCACCAGAACAAGTAGTAGATGAAACGAAGGCACGATCAGCTCCAGTATTCGTGAGTCGACCGGAGCCCGTGACCGTAGAAGAGGGTGAATGGGCTCGATTCTGCTGTCGTGTTACTGGACATCCTAAACCTCGAGTAATGTGGCTCATTAACGGAAACACCATTGTCAATGTAAGTTTAAAAATCATTAGAATTATCTTTCTGCAGGTGTAAATGATCTCTTTAGGTACAAGTTATTATGATAGAATTAATTTATTTCAACTACGAAAACCTTTTACAATCAAGAGAATATTTACTAGATTATATTTATTCTCAAAAATGCCTTTATTTTATAGTTATTTATTTTTCTATAATATTATTATACATTATCAGAGTTCCTTGCTAATAAGGCGGAAAACGAATAAAATACCGAAAATTGAACTAAAAAATTATTTACTTGACAGAGACTTTTATTTAATGACGGAGTACATTGTATTTCAGTATATAAATAAGAATATAATATAATTATCTGTCAAGTACTGTATTACGTTAATTTTTTATATTTCTTTATTATTCGAATTTTATATCGAAAATTCTAGATAGTGTTGTATTGTGTGTAAATATCAAACTAAACTAAATTTTAATTATAACTGCGCCTTGGAAGCAAGATTATAACGTTCATTAATATTTAATTTGCTTTTTACTTATCAATCATACACCGTCTTACAATTGCATAAATCTGTTTTGCAGGGTTCTAGATATAAACTAACTTATGATGGCATGTACCACTTTGATATACCAAAGACTAGACAATATGACACAGGCAAAATAGAAGTAATCGCTAGAAGTTCAGTGGGTGAGGCATTAGCCACAACTGAACTTAAAGTCATTCCTAGACACGATGACTATAGAGGAGTATTGAAAAATGCCCCAAGACGTAAGTGTTTCGTATTTATCAGAAAACACACAATTGATAATAACATAATACATAATATGCTTATTATGCGCTATGACGACATGCACAGTTTGGATTAATGAAAATCTAATACATTCACTGGGTGATTATTGACTAAGTTTTATACTTTCACATAGTTAAATAGCTTTTCAATACTCAGCTGCTTTAACACACATCACTGACTCACCTACACACCGACAGACCGCTAAAGCACAAATAAAACCCTTGCTTCCTTATGCCCTTCCTCTTTATCTAAATAAGAAGTGTGCGAGCTATATCACCTGCTTCTACCGGCTTTACTTCGGATTCATGAAGAGGTATGTCTTGAAATTTTAGTCGAAATTTATTAAACGATCAATTGTATTAACCTATTATATTGATCCTGTACAGCATGGTATGATGAGACTACTCAGTATCAGCGCTCTGAAACTGAACTGGAAAAAACATTCGAGGAAAGGCAAACTATGCAACGTCAAGGTGTTATAGACCATAGACCTGAGTTGAAACCAAAAGTAGTTAAAGAACCTGAAACAGAATGGCAACAAACTGTCAAGAAGAAGAAGAGTGAGGAATATTATAACAAACTTCAAGAGTTAGAAAACGAACAAGTTATCAAGGAGAGCAGATTACGGGAGTCGACACATCAATATGCTATTCCTGGGGAGAAAATCGCAAGTTCTCTCGCAAAAGGCATGGCCCAGAAATATGAAAGTACACTGTAAGTATTTTTTTATCCATATCATTATGACCCTACTGTAGTATGATTTTTTTTCCTTCCATATTGACCCCTTTCAATTGTTATATCTGGGCTTACATTTATTCTACGTATTACATAGTATATTAATCTGTTTCTGCTATTATAAAAATATACAATTTGAAATTTCAGTAAATAAATATCATTTCAAACTTCAAAAGTTTTCAATTTTATTTATATAATTTTACAGAGAACAAAATGAAGAAGTAGTTGAGCAACAAGTTCACAAGAAAGTTGCTCAGAAGCCAAGGATTCCAGATCCATCTGAATCTACCGTTCATGGCAAAGAAGTACATGTAGCTAAACAGAAACAAGTTCAAAAGGAAGTGGTCGGTGATACAGAAATTACACGGAAAATTACTTCTACTGAAACGACTGAAGTCGAACACAAGGCTCAGACACATGAAAGGGTAGTAGAAGGCCCTGTGAAGCCCAGTAATCCACCCGTGTTCACTAAGAAGATGCAACCATGTCGTGCGTTTGAACATGAACAAGCACGATTTGAAGTGGAATTTGATGGAGACCCATTACCCACTATTAAATGGTATAGAGAGAACTTCCCTATAAAGAACTCACCAGACTTCCAAATCCACACATTTAGCACAAAGTCAGTTCTTATAATCCGACAAGTATTTATTGAAGACTCGGCCGTATTTGCTGCTGTTGCCGAAAACCGAGGCGGCACTGCTAAATGTAGTGCCAATTTGGTTGTAGAAGAACGTAGACGTCAAGGTAGAGGCGGTGTTGTACCACCCAGCTTCACTCTAACAGCTCAGAACGTTAATGTAACGGCCGGACAACTAGTTAGATTCGATACTAAGGTAACCGGAACTAAACCTATCGATGTTTATTGGTTAAAGAATGGAAAGAAAGTACAACCTGACATCAGAAACAAAATATTGGAAGAAGACGGAACTTATACACTCCTTATTCTTGAAGCTTATCCACAGGATTCTGGTAAATATGAATGTGTGGCTATCAACAGTGCTGGTGAAGCGAGATGTGATGCTGAATGTTCTGTAAATGCTCCTCCAACAAAGGAAAAGCCAAAACCTCAAACTAAGGCTGCTAACGCTCCTCCTGAAATCATCGAACCCTTGAAAGACAAGGTTGTAACTGAGGGACAAGCCATAGAGTTCAGCTGCAAAATTGTTGGCAAACCAACGCCTACTGTTCAATGGTACAAGGGCGATAAGTTAATTAAGCCATCAAAATACTTCCAAATGTCAAGAACAGCCGATGAGTATACTTTGCGTATATCAGAAGCTTTCCCAGAGGACGAGGGTGATTATAAATGTATCGCCTATAATTCTGGAGGCCGAGTAACAGTTGCCGCGAAGCTAAAAGTAACTCAGCCAGATCAAGCGGACAACTTACCAACTCTTACGCCACTTCGTGATGTCGTTGTGTTCGAAGGACAACCGGCTCAGTTCAAGACTCACATAACTAGCAAGACTAAACCAACTATACAGTGGCTGCGTGAAGGTGCTCTTATTCCCGAGACACCTGACTTCCAAGTAAGTTTACATTAATTACATATTTTCACTTAACCATAAAATTATTTATATACAAAATAGTGAACTTTTAGATGTTTCTCTTGTTTTCGAGTCATTATTTTCTCAATCTTTTTTAGTATATAAACTAAAAACTGATGATGATGATATTCATCTACTATGCTTAAATAGATAGTTACAGAATTAATTACTACTCAAATAGTTACGAATTATTATAAAATTTTGTAATAGATTAATTATTAGCCAATCATTGTAAATCCATTATATACATCCGGAATTTAACTATATAGTCATGTATATTTACTTGTTGCAGATGATTCACGAAGGCAACAACGCCGTTCTTTTAATCGGCAATACGTACGAGGAGGACACGGGAACGTTCACCTGCCGCGCTACAACCGCCGCTGGCCAAGTCGAGACTTCGGCAAAACTAACCGTCAAAAGTAAGACATAGATACAGGCAGCGAGCTCGCGTCGCGCACTTTTAATCCATTAATGTAGTGTTTCTTTGTTTCATCTCTATACCACTATGAGATCGGGTGAAAACTACTATTCAAATTCGAAAGTTGACAAGCGAATTCAATTTTGTCCTAGATCACTTCATGCAATCGTAGCGGTTACCGCAATAACGACTTCCGCCCGCTTCTTAGATACACCCCGTGATCGCAGTCATGATGTTATGGCACATAGACGATCCGTGTATACTCGTACCACATCTAATCATGAACGACTTGCCCCATTGGCCACGTTAGGTTAGGGCTTCCTATTCGCGCGGACATTCGACAACGCTGCGACACTCTAACATGCAAGTGAAATCAATTGTAAACTTAACTCAGTAGAATAATTTGGGCGAATTTCCGCATCTAACAATGCTGTACATTGAGCTTTTTGTGTAAATAGTCCTAGTCATACAACGAGACGGACGTCACCTGTGGACCAGCGAGCGACGGACCAGGAGCGACCAATAATCTGGATACACGTAACATGTGATTAACACGAACACGAGACATTCTACGACTGTTTTGTTTTGCTTTTACCGCTACGATGTTTACTAAATGATGTATTTATCATATCGATCACATTGTGAATAGAAACACATTGCGTATACGAGACGCGTCTTTTGGCGAATCGTCAGATGTATTTTTCACCCAATACTCTTTTAAATTAATTTTAAGCCTGCGCTTAAAGTTAATATCTTATTTGGCCTTATTAACATTAAGAATTGAAAAGTCACTATGCTTTTTGTGTTGAGATCTGACCTGTGAAACTTATGCAATGATCTCACTTATGTTTATACAGCAAAAATTTACTGAGCGAAGTTTATCAGGTGGTCATTAAGTCTGGGACTTGCGTTAGCTTCTGTGGTCCGTGGAAATGTCGGCTAAACAGTGATGTCGCTACTTGTAAATATATTCAAAAGGACCACACAAGCCCGCTACGAGTTCGAAAGGAACCTTGCTTTAGCTTTATCCTTAAGCATGATTACTGTTTGTATTGTCCAAGTTCGAGTTTTGATTTTTCAATAGAGACCCGTTACACCTAACAAACGCTGCACGTAGGTAGCGGTTGTCTGCGTCGCCACCTACAGTCATCTAACAGCTACGACTAACTTTGTAAGTGTCATACCGTCCGCGGATTTATTGCGTTCACAAGTCTGGGTTTCGTGGGTGCCCCGGGCTTTGGGTGGGTCGTTCTCGCAAAGTTAATCGTGGTTGTATTACATTACGCGCGGTGCCTCTCATTCCGCTGTCAACTATTCTGTGACAAAGAAACATAATTTACAATGTAGTGCGCACCTCGCGACGCGATGTCCACTACACATAAAGTACGCACGCACTACTTGCCTTGCCAGTTTCTATGTTTTGACAAACACTGCCGATGTTGATGACCTAATGTTTTCTGCAAGTACAAATCCGAATGAGATTTTATAGTTTAACGATACAGTGATCTTTAACTTAGTTTGTTTTAAGTGCACGATATTGTTAAATTAAATTGTGTTGTATGTTTCACCTATTTGTATTAAGTTATTAGTCGTGGCAATATTTTATCACTAAATATTTTCAGTGCCTATCCATATTTAATAATATATTTATAAAACGATTTTTTGTATGTTACCTTTATGTGAAAACTGTTTAATAAACGCTATAAATTATTGAAATATTCGAATTATTCAATTCACAAGGGACTATTGCAAAAATTACCTGAACGGAAACGCATAGTGCGCATATAGCGCTGGCGCATGGAATAAATAGCGAACTTTATAGGCATAGGTAATAAAATTGTTAGGTGGTTAGGTTTACATTCATCAACATACATACCTACCAAGCATACCTACATTAAACACAACGCACTGACTGCGTGACTGCTATCCATCAAATAAAACAACAGGTTCATAATTTATTTAAATTAAAATATACTAACACTTGAATGATATTTATTGGCCAAATTCAATACGCCTCTGTGTGTGTTTTAGGGACATGCCTTGATGGATGGCCACGTCACTGTGGATGCTTTAATTCATCTACTGGCACTTTTCTATCTAAACTTCTTTCTTTCATGCCATATAGATATTGATTTGTGATTTAATTATCACATTTTTGCTACTGTTGTCACTAAACAGTTGATTAGCTTCAATCTAATATGTTTTCAATTAAACCAATGAATGGATGTTAACTAATTATGCTGCAAGTTTTTTAAAATGAATGAGTATAAACTAGTGATAAGTAAATTTTAATAATATATTGCAATAATAAAATATATTAAATCATATTTATAATATAAATAAATGAAAACAGTATATATTAAGAATTACAAATTAAGTTCTTTGATGTTCTAATTGGATCAAAATACCCTCTTTTTCTACCAATGCCAAGTAAAGCACTCTACGTTTAAGGTATATTGTTAATTTATTAATTTTGATGTTTATAACTCAGTAATTATTGTTTCTGAGTATTATGACAACTAATCTGAATTTGTAAAAGTTTAATTTAAATATAATTAATGAAATTAATATTAGTTTAAAGGAGTACAGTGCTTTACTTACCAGTCACGACACTTAAATAGGTTTTATTTTACATTTACACAAAATTCTTACATTATTGACATTTTTTACATTTGATACAAAAACATACACGTTTTAAATTAGATTTTACAAATATAGAGAATATTAGAAATGTTGTAAAATATTTTTATACAATGAATGAAATTTACTTCATCTCCGAATACTATTTAAAAACAAAAATTAGAGGTAAAATTAAAACAGACACAAAAGACAAATACACAAATTATATAGCAAATTGAAAATGATTTAGAGTCAGTCTCAAATTGAATTTAAGGAAAAGCTCATCGGGAGCATAATAAAAAAAAATACAATAATTTGACCTTTTAATCTACTAATTTTATGATACTTTATTAAGAACATACAACAGAAACCAAATAATTACTGTTTACTTAGTTATTATTTTTGATACTGACTTTAATTCTGATCATTTATATTCATTGCATATTTTTTTTTTATTTAGAATTATCAGAATATATAACAGAATATCAGAATCAAATAATAATGAATTCATAAAAGACCTTTTATTAAATGTTCGCCAATCCCGATAGATATCTATTATATTGGATAAATATTAAATTATAAATAAGTTACAAATCTGGAAATGTCTCTAAGTATAAAATTAATTTTTATTCTTGAGAGGCATTGCGTTTTCAAAATATCTTGGCAACTGTTTCAACGCTTGGAAGGATTACGCGGCTGCGAAACATATTGTAGTAAGTATAAGGTAAGTACTTTAATATTAATACATTAGTTACAGCAATTAAAAGAAAGAAATATTTTGGCATAGAATTTAACTATCAAAAATTGAATTATATTTAATTTCAACTAACTTGTATACACTAGGTATGAATCTGTACGATAGAATGAAGACTAGGAATATATAATCTATTTGTCTGTACCGTAGTCACACATATATCGATAACTTAGAATATTGATATACAAATACGTAGATAGTTATCAATGTACAATGAACTCAGATTTCGTTGAAATTATTTACAAATTTTACAATTCTGAAATGAATATGGTGTCCCATTACCTATTACATAATCCCAACCATCATACTGCGAATGTAAATGTTGGGAGGAATTTTTAAAAGCATACTTAAAATTGTGTCAGGCGTAATCGCTCGTGTTTTAAATACAAATAAAATGTATTCAATCTTATGGGTTCAATCATTTGTAAATTATATAATCTAATATGAGGATAAAAGAATTTAAGTATAAAAATAAACAGTTCTGATTTTATTACAATAAAGAAGAATTAGTATTCGTAAGAGTCTCTTAAAAGGTTTTGTTTGAATTAAGTAGGTGCCTGTTAAACTTACTTAATCCAATGATTTTTCCAACGTAGTGGATGGCGTATCACTTGACGTAAATTGTGTCAAATTAACACGATTTTTTTTCTCAAATAGGCTCGTGTTTGGTATTCCTATCGATGTTCGTTGTCTAGTTTTCTTGTAATGCAGAGGGATTCCTGTTTAACAAAGAAATTGACGTGGTTATGTGACAGTAAAGTATATTTCAATATTATTGTAATAACTAAAGAAGTAGTGTGATCGAAATTAAGATTTTGAGATTAATCGTACCATAGTAGGTATGCATTCGTTAACTTATTTGGTAATAATTTGTAATAATGCAATTTAATACAACTTTGAATCGTAATATAATTAGTGTGGAAATAAACTGGGACTAAGCCGTCTTGAATGAAAAAGATTGAAGAAGAAAACCAAATCGGTTCAAATCGATAAAGATATCACTTAATATACTCAAAAAGTTATTTCTTTGTGTGCATATTACGTAAATAGTAAGTTTATATACTTCAAAAAGGAGTAAGATTACGATTCATACTTACTAGTATTCAACTGTGTGTATTAGTACTCAGTGTTTTTTTTTTTATGATAATAATGGAATACTAATAGGCTCGCATTATCGGTATATGCTAGCGAGGTACTAGTGAGCGATAATAGGAGAGTATGAAAGCAAGGGTCTACCATGAAATGTAATCTCAAGATTTCGCGCTTTCGTTCATACTAAAATCTGACAAATAAATGAAGTTTAACGTTTCATTTGTCATAAATCCTCTCATAAAAGTCCAAAAGATCAATATTTTAATATTTTTAAACAAACATAATTATGTGATTTTAATATCAAAATTTGTATTAAAAGACTATAAAAATTAATATTAATTTCAAGGGGGGCTGCGAAGGTAAATCTAACCCTTTTTTTAAATGTGAAATGGAATGGTAACTTTGCTTGCACTATCGGTATACGCTGGCGTGGCACCAGTGAGGGATGATAGGTGACGATGAAAGCAGGTCAGTTGGCCCATCGTAACGAGTTCATCCAGATTACCCATGATGGTTTCCAGGTAAACCACGACACA